GGCGAGCGGAGAACAGCCTGGGGCTTAGGGATAAGACTGAGTGTGGGAGATGCTGGGAGGATTAAACAAATGATTTTTCCCCAACAGAAGCAGTTAGCAGTGCTGCAGCTGGAGGTGACTTGGGCATTGCTCCTCCTCCACACCTTAGTCCCCAGGGTGATGCTCAGCCACGTTACTGGGTCTGGGCTCCTGGCTCCCTGGTGACTCACCTGGCCCCATGGAGGTGACAGGGGACTGCAGACTACAGCAGGCAGGAGCGCCAGGCCAGTAGCCTCCGCCCCCTCTTCTCCCCAGGACAACTTCAATTAGGCCTTGCTCGAAGCTGGGGATCTGCATTATCAGAACAGCAATCAGGTGCGTGTGAGGCGCCCGCCTCGGCCCTCCTTGCTTCCCTTCCCCACGTGTTCTGTCTTGATTTTGGTGTTGCCATGTATGGACACAGCCCCGCTGAGCTGAGGAGGGGGAAGGGACGCCCCTCGAGACTGGGGAGGTGGCAACTTCCTGGCACCGGCCTCCCCCTCCCCAGCACACCCAGGCAAGAGCCCCCTTTCCACCCTCAGTGCCGCGTCCGTCCGCTGGGCCCCAAGGGCCGGGGGCCGATCGAGGCTGGTCAAGGTCCGCACCGCGTACATGGTTTATGCTGGAAGAGGGGGAGGAAGTCGGAGGGAGAAGTCCGCGCATGTGGGAAAGCGGGCAGCTTCGTCTGCAGGCTTCTGTCTCCCAGATTCTCAGAAAGGTTGGGAGGCCTCAGCCAGGGCCAGGACCTGAACGGCCCCCAACTCCGTCCCTGCAGGACTCCACTCCGTTACTTCCCGAGGTGTGGCAGGAACTGGGCTCCAGGGTCTGGAGGTCCTCTGTCCTTTCCCTGGAAGACTGGAGTCCTGAGGGCTGCTATCCCAAGGAGTCCTTTTGTAACCGAGCCCTGAGGTCCTTTCAAAGGCTGCTGGGCCGCCTCTGGCAGAAGTGGCAGGCCGCGATGGCTTGGTTGAAGAAGACCCTGGCTGCTGGCATGCAGGCCCTTTGCAAGGTGGTGGAGGCCATCTGGAGTGTGTTTAACGATTTCTGCTCCTTCATGGCACAGGTCCTCAGGAGCGCGATCCAGGCCTAGCGAAACCCCCTGACCGGTATCCTTCCCCAGGTCTGGCCCATCACTGTGACTATGGTGTCTTAATAAAAGTTGGTCGAACCCAGCGGAATGCCTGTGGTGTCAGGAGCAGGGGGCACCAGTGGTTGGGAGGGGACATGTGTCACGTGGACCCGAACTGGGGTCCACCTGACCGCTCTAAATCTGTACGTGGGACACTGGTGTCACAACTGGTCACGGACTTGTGGAGAGGACTGGAAGGCCGATGCCTTGCCTGATGCGTAGTAGAGACTCAGTAAATGGTGCTCCCAGAGCAGCAGGGAGCTCAGGCCTGAGGAGCTTTCAGCCCTCGTTTCTTTTCCTGACCCGGGTCTTCATCCTTCGCTGGGCCACAGAAGCTCCTCGGTCTTCCTTCCAAGATCAGAGGCCTTGGGGTTGGGGCATGGGAGGGGGGGCAGGATGGAGGACGGATGGGGAGGGAGGGTGTACCCCTGCCTGTGCCAGGCAGAGAGGCAGCTTGGCGGGGAGGGCAGGAGTCACGTCTCAGGCCTGTGGCCTGTGGCCTGGTGTGGGTCTGCAAATGCAGGAACTCAGGGGAGGAGGAGAAGGCCAGGGCTGGAAGGGCTCAGGTCAGCTCATCATTTTTCTTTTCTTTCTTTCTTTTTTTTTTTTTTTTAAGATTTTATTTATTTATTTGAGAGAGAGAGACAGCGAGAGAGGGAACACAAGCAGGGGGAGTGGGAGAGGGAGAAGCAGGCTTCCCCCCCCCGCGCAGGGAGCCCGATGTGGGGCTTGATCCCAGGACCCTGGGATTGTGACCTGAGCCGAAGGCAGATGCTTAACAACTGAGCCACCCAGGCGCCCCTCTTTTATTGCTGTTTTTGTTTTAAGATTGATTGATTGATTTGCGAGAGAGAGAGAGAGAGAGAGAGAGAGAGAGAGAGAGAGAGATACAGAGAGCGACTCTTTCTCAGACTACCAGTTGGGGGGGGGACCCAATGCAGTGCAGGCCCAACCCATGAGCTCAAGCAAGACCCGATCTGAAACTGAGGCTCAGCTGACTAAGCCACCAGGCACCCCTCCTCCTTTCCCCCAAGCTCCCCCGCCCCCCACTGACTTCCTGCTTCTGGCAGCCTCACACAGATTTTGCATTGGGAGCGTCCGGCCGCAAATAGCAGCTGCTGAGGTGGAGCTGAGGGGGGTGGTTCCAGGGCCCCGACCTGAGAACAGAGCAGGAAGGAAGGAGGAAATGGGCCTGGGGCCAGGGACCACAGGCACTCCGCTGGGTCTGAGAAGTATGCTGAGGTGAGAGAGGCATGTGGGGAGGGGCTTGGGAGCCAGGAGGCCTCAAGGACTGGGGGCACTTCTGTGAGTCAGCATTCCCCCCTCTCCTGTCGGCCAGCTTCTTCAGACCCTTTTGGATCATAGGAAATAAATTCTTGATTCTTAGAAAAATCGCCTCCCTGGGGGCCACCTCTGAGTCCAGCAGGAGGCGATAATGGCTGAAGCATACCCTGCTAGCAGCTTCTTGGTGGCCCCGATCATCCTCATGGACCCTGCTTGCTAGCAGCCCCTGCCCTACAGGGGACAGTGTTGGGGGGATCTTCCCCTTGGCCATGTCCTCTCTCCCCACTTCCTGTCAGCATTCAGGTTGTCTTAGATCCTTGCCCTGCATTTTCAAGTGACCTTGTGTCAAAATGCCACTTCTTGTGACTTCTGCACTGATTTCCTTTGAGAAAACCCACCTCCTGTGCTGACCATCAGGGGCTTTTATGAACCCATGGCCCCATCAAAGTCACCGTCATCCAGAGCCTAGACAACTTCCAGGCTCTTCTCATTGGTCTCCCTGCTCTTGCCTCTTTCAAGCCAAATCTACCTAGCACCAAGGTCAAAACAACTTCATTGCAAAATGAAGTAACTCCCTGCTTAAAACCCTCCCCTCTTCCCATCATAAATATACTCTGACTGGGGTGCCTGGGTGGCTTGGTCGGTTAAGCGTCTGCCTTCGGCTCAGGTCATGATCCCGGGGTCCTGGGATCGAGCCCCGCATCAGGCTCCCTGCTTGGTGGGGAGTCTGCTTCTCTCTCTCCCACTCCCCCTGCTTGTGTTCCCTCTCTTGCTGTCTCTCTCTCTGTCAAATAAATAAAATTTTTAAAATAAATAAATAAATAAATAAATAAACTCTGACCTTGGCCTCTAAGGCTGTCTGTATCATCAGGTTCCTTTTTTTTTTTTTTTTTAAGATTTTATTTATTTATTTGAGAGAGAGAGAAACAGCATGAGAGGGGAAAGGGTCAGAGGGAGAAGCAGGCTCCCCACTGAGCCAGGAGCCTGATGTGGGACTCGATCCCAGGACTCGGGGATCATGACCTGAGCCGAAGGCAGTCGCTTAACCAACTGAGCCACCCAGGCGTCCTGTATCATCAGGTTCCTACAGAGCTCCCTCAGGGACTGTATTCTTCAGCTGCCTGCTCAGCAGCTCAGGGCCTTTGCACATGCTGTTTCCTCTGCCAGGGATGCCCTTCCCCCAGTTCTTCTGTGGTTGCCTCTCCCTTCTGTTTCAGGCCTTGTTCTCCTCAATAGCGCAGCACATTCCCTAGTACACAGTAGGTGCTCAAGAAATAATAAAGCCCTCAAATGCTGTGGGTTCTCCCAACTCCTTACTCTCAACTTTAGTTGACTAAGAAAATTATCTTCTTGAAATTTTCTGCTCTGGGGTCTTCCACGAGTCTAATTTGTTCTGTGACATCCAGTGACTCTCTGTACCCTACCTGATCTTCCTCCCAACCCCCAAAAGCATAGAGCTTCCCCAGGCTCAGAGCTTCCCACTCAGTTGTGCCCAAGAGCCATCTCTACTTTCCCACATTTGTGAGTGGATTTTCCCCAAGTCCCGTGAGCGCTTGTTGACTAGTTCACTTCATGTTCACAAGCATCTGCTAAACAGCAATTACGTGTCAGGTTGGAGGGACAAAAACAACTTAGAAAAAAAAGTGTGGATATAAAAAGCCACAGACAGAAGCAGGAAGAGCATGTGTGTCTTCTGCAGCTGAGGGGGCCTGTTTTCTTTCCTGTGGTCTTAACAGAAGTCACATGATTTTAAATCTGTCTATTAGTTGGGAAAAAAACAATCTGTCTTCCAGAATAGAGAAGAGGCCAAAATTGCCTGGTAGGTAGAAGGTGTGGAAATCAGCCAAACCAGCTTTGGGTTTACAGGATTATGGGTCATTAAGGGGTCTCGAGCCCACAATCCAACTTGGCCATCAAGCAGGTTTCATTTCATCTGCTAACATCTTCAAGTTGAACTAGTTACCTACATTCCAAAAACAAGGTTTCCCATAAGAACCCAGAATCTGGGAATTTAAATTTTATTCCATTTTAATTAATTCAAACAGCCACATACGGCCAGAGGATACTGTATTGGACAGCAGAGATTAGGGGCAGACTCCAGAGAAGGAAAAATTCCAGGGTGGCATTCCGTGGCCTTACAGCTGGCTCCGATAGTTGGCACCCCTCTGCCACCCCCCCAACTCTAGGCCTTTCCGGGGTGTATGTGTGTGGGCGGGGCTCTCTCTGGACCTGCTCCTATCTAGAGTACTGTGGAAGGAGCTGGGGTAGGGAAGGGAAAAGGCATCCCTGTCACAGTGCTGAGGGTAACAGCGTTTGGGTGGATCTCAAAAAAATTAGAAGAGTGGTTTTTCAAGCAGGCCATTTTACTTTAGGTACTTTGAAATATACCCCTGAGGCCAGGGAGATGCCTGGGGCGGCGCGGGGGGGGGGGGGGCGGGGGGGGGGCGGGCGTACTAACACGCAGGGTTGGTGGAGTCAGCGGGAGGCCGGTGGAGTGGGGGACCGCGACGTCCTCTGCAGGCCACCGGGGAGAGGCGCGCAGGGCAGGCCCGGCGGAACCCAGGTGAGGCTAGTACAGGGTCTCGCGGGCGTGGGTTCTCAGGTGCCGCAGCAGGTGCGAGTTGCGGCTGAAGCTGCGGCCACACTGTGCGCACGAGTAGGGCCTGGCCCCGGTGTGCACCAGCATGTGGCGCAGCAGATTACAGCTGCGGCTGAAGCTCTTGCCGCACTCCCGGCACTCCTGGGGGGGCTCGGCCTGCCGGGACGCCGCCTCGTTCCCGGCCCCCGCGTGGGTGGCCAGGTGCCGCTGCAGGTGCGCGTTGCGCCGGAAGCTGCGGCCGCACGTCGGGCAGCCGTAGGGCCGCTCGCCAGTGTGGCTGCGGCGGTGGCGGGCCAGGTTGGAGCTGTTGCGGAAGCGGTAGCCGCAGGTGTCGCAGGCGTGGGGCTTCTCCCCGGTGTGGATGCGCTGGTGGCGCGCCAGGTGGGCGCTCTGGCTGAAGCCTTCGCCGCACTCGCTGCAGCGGCAGGGCTTCTCGCCCGTGTGGCTGCGCCGGTGGCGGGCAAGGTCCTGTGTCTGGCTGAAGGTCTTGCCGCACTGGGTGCAATGGTGGGGCCTCGGGCCGCCGTGGGTCAGGAGGTGGCGGGCGAGACCCGCCCGGCGCACGAAGCGCTTGCCGCAGTGAGGGCAGCTGTAGGGCTTCTCGCCCGTGTGTACCCGCTGGTGGCAGACCAGCTGGGAGCTCTGGCTGAAGCTGCGGCCGCAGACCTGGCAGGAGAAGGGCCGCTCGCCCGTGTGCACGCGCCGGTGGGCCCCCAGGTGCTCGCTGCGCCGGAATGCCTTGCCACAGTCACCGCACACGTAAGGCCTGCGCTCGGGGCCTGGGCGCAGGCTGCCCGAGCACTCAGAGCACTGGTGGCCCTTGTCCTTGGCGTGGATCCGCAGGTGGCGCTTGAGGCTGGAGCGGCGCTGGAAGGTTTGGCCACAGTGAGAGCACAGGACCACGGCCAGCTCGCGTGCTTCGCTCTTGGTCTCAGGGACGCACGGGGACTTTTGGTCCTGGGCGTGCGCCAGCAGGTGCTGCATGAGGTTGGCCCGGCGCTGGAAGCCCTGACCGCACTCGGCACACAGAAAGGCGGGCTCAGAGGAGTGAGTCTGAAGGTGTTTGTTCAGATGTGAGCTCTGGCGGAAGCGGTGGCCGCAGAGGTGGCAGGCATGTGGCCGCTCGTCCGTGTGCGTGCGCATGTGCAGCTTGAGGATGGAACTCCGGCCGAAGCTCTTCCCGCAGCACTGGCAGGGAAAGGCCCGAGCGCCGGGGTGAGACCGCAGCTGGTGGGCCTCCAGGCAGGCCAGCTCTCGGAAGCTCACCCCGCAGTCTGTGCAGATGAATTCCATCCCTGGCTCCGACCTGGGCATCTCCCCAGCCACTTTGACCTCCAGAATATCACTCCTGCCGGGAGGGGACCCTCCTTCACCAGAGCCACTCACTTCTGGGCCCGGCCCCAGCACCTGAAGGTGGGGCTCTTCTGCCACCCCAGCACCATCTGCCCCAGACTCTGTGGAGACGGCAGCAGGCCAGGCCACCCCTTTGGGCTCCTCTTTAAACTCCTCATCTGCGGTTCTGTTTTCAAATCCTGGGAAAGAAGCAGAAAAGAGGGATGGGCAGGCGTATTCTTAGAGGCTCCCAGGAATCGCCCAGAACCTCAACGCCTCAAAGCAGAAAGAAACCCGGGGTTCCTGCAAAGCTGGTGGGTGGGTAGAGAGGGAGGGTAAAAACCAGACAACATAGAATTTACCACAGTAACAGCTTTCCCTTTTTTTTTTTTTTAATTTTTAAGTAGGTTCCATGCCCAGTGTGGAGCCCAAACTGGGCCTTGAACTCACAAACCTGAGATCAAGACCTGAGCTGAAATCAAGAGTTGAAAGCTTAACCTGCTGAGCCAGCCAGGTACCCCAATGACCACCCATTTTAAAAGCTCAAAGTTAATGGGGTTGATGATTAGATCAGACTCAATGAGCCTTTAAAATAAATGAATGAATGACTGAACAAAGGAAGAAAGGAATGAATCCTCATCAAGATAGCCCATTTTTATATATTTTTAAGATTTTATTTCTTTATTTGAGAGAGAGAGAGATCGCCCAAGTGCATGTGCATGCGCTAGTAGGAGGAGGGCAGAGGGAGAAGCAGACTCCCCCATGAGCAGGGAGCCTGAGGCGGGGCTTGATCCGGGGACCCTGGGATCATGACCTGAGCGGAAGGCAGACGCTTAAACGACTGAACCACCCAGCTGACCCCACATAGCCCATTTTTAGCCAAAGAGGCCAAAAGTCAGGTAGGATCTGAGCCTCAGGGACCATTCTTGAAACACAAAGAGCCTTCAGTGGTAATAAGCGGGAAGGGCCTCTTACCCAGAGGGTGCGTGGGCCAAGCCTTCTTTGCTGGGACATCTTCAAAGGTCAGGGACTCCTGTAACAAAAGGAAGGGCAGAGACCCTCAGTGAGAGAGGGTCTCCCTATGTCCTGAGGGGGATGATGAGCTTTTAAGGTTTAAATGAAGGAAGACATGAATTCACTACAATTGCAGAGGCGGAGAACATCCAGGGCAGAACATTCTGAAATGAGGGTACTAGTCCAGCTCACCAGCACAGCTGCCAGCTCCTGATCTCGGGAGTTTTCCTCCAGCCATAGGACAGGGCCCTGGGGGACTGACAGTATGGGGCGGGGGAGAGAGCTGTTAGAAGCCAGACTTACCCTCCACGTAGCTACAGGGGGTACACCCATTGCCGGGGCCCCAAGAGAGACATTGGCTCTCTCCCATCCCCGTCAAAGAGGGAGGCTGCCTACTTCTCAGCCCACCCTCCACCCTCACATACCGTGCCTCCCAGCTCCCACCTTCCCGGGGTACCAACTCCTCACCAGTCTCTTGCAGGGCCTGGAACGTCCTCTTGGGACCTGGGCTCAGTGGCTGCTTTGCACTTGGTGGATGTCTCCAGGTCTCCAGCTCAGCGGGCTTGGAAGGCCCTGGCTGGGATGGCAGGGGTTCCTTCGGTGCCTCCAGGGCTGGAGGTCCTTCTGAGGGCAGTTCCTTTTTGGGGCTGTGACTGGAGACCTGGGAAGAGCCCCCCTGTTCCTCCAAAGTGATGTCTGCCCGGGGACAATTCTTACCAGTATTAAAACTAAAATCCTGTTCAAAATACATCTATGTTAGGCGACGGACAGGACGGGGCGATAGTCCAAGGGAAACGCGACCAGGGAAACGCGACCAAGGAAAGGTGAGAGTCGGCGGAGTTAGGAGGTTAAAAAGGAAATTATTGCAGGGAGGGAAATGGAGTGATTTCTTCATGGGGCACTGAAGTCCCTGTCTCCCTACCTGCTGTCCAGCCCACCTGGCCACCACCCTCTTACCAGGGGCCCCACGGCGCTGGACTCCCTCTGGATGCCCTCCAGCAGCAGCACCACCTCCTCGCCGTCCCTGAGCTGCTGGCCCTGCAGCCGAGCCAGGAGGTGGGGGGGCAGCACGCTCAGGAACTGCTCCAGCACCAGCAGCTCCAGGATCTGCTTCTTGGTGTGCATAGCTGGCCTCAGCCAGTGGTTGCAGAGCTCCCGAAGCCGGCTCAGGGACGCCCTCGGCCCCATGTCCTCCTGATATTGGAAGCATCTGAAGAGCTGGTGAGCCACCTCAGGCCGGGGCCTGGCCTGTGCATGCCTGATGTCCTCCTGACCAGGAGCCTCCTCTTCCTCCAGTTTGACTGCTCCAAGCTGCTCTGGCTCTTGGGCAGCCGGGACGGGCTCTTCAAGCATCCTTCAGCTTGGGGGGTGGCTCGCTGCAGCAGGTCCCACTCTTGGGTCTCTCCCTCTCTGCTCCCACACCTGTGGTGTTAAGAAATGCCTAAGATGTGGCCTCCAGAGGAAGCACTTCTCTCACTGGTCATGGGTAAGGTCTCAGAGAGCAGGACAGCCCATGGCCCCAGCCTGACCAAAACACTAAAAGGCAGAGAAAACTGATAGTTCTGTCTTTTCGTCCCTTCCTGCAGCATTTAGAACTTCACCCCAGGGATCAAAATTGGCATTCCTGAGACAGGACGGCTGTTTCCCTGCCTCTTGATGCTGTGCCGTGGGGAGTGTGCGGCATCACCAAAGATGCGCGTTGCCATAAATATTTCATGGCAATGCAATCCAGCTCTGCTTTATTTTTTTTTAAAGATTTTATTTATTTATTTGACAGAGAGACAGAACAGAAGTAGGCAGAGTGGCAGGCAGAGACGGAGGGAGAAGCAGGCTCCCCACTGAGCAGGGAGCCCGATGTGGGGCTCGATCCCAGGACCCTGTCATGACCTGAGCCGAAGGCAGACACTTAACCGACTGAGCCACCCAGGCGCCCCAATCCAGCTCTACTTTAGACCCAACTTTGCATTGCAAGGAATAAGAACAGGTGGGGGTGGGGGTGTGGTGGATAAGAGTGATGGTGTTTAAGGTACAAATTTGTAACCAGGAGTAAATAATCCACAGAGATCTAATGCATAATATAATGAACACATTCAATAATAGCGTACTATAATTATGTAATGTGATAAATATCACTCCACTGGCAATCATGTTACAATATATGAATGTACCAAAGTAACATGCTGTACACCTTTAAGGTATACAATGTTACATGTAAAATTTATTCAATAAAAAAAAAAAAGAACGGGAGCCTCCGTGGTGCAGTCGGTTGGGCGCCTGACTCTCAGTTTGAGCTCAGGTCATGGTCTTTAGGTGGTGGAATGGAACACTGGGTGGGGCTCAGCACTTGTCCCAGAGTCAGCTTGGGATTCTCTCTCCCTCTCCCTCTGCCTCTCCCACTTGTGCTCTTTCTCTCTTTAGAATAAATAAATAAATAAATCTTAAGAACAAACAAGTGAAATGATCCCTCAAAGAAACAGTGGAACAAACTGCAAATTCAGAATATTCCGGCAAACAACTGGCCCAGTTTCTTCGGTGTTATTTTAACAAGCGCCTGTAGGGGGAGCATTGCCCTAGAGGAAACTAACAGCCACACAAGCAAATGAATGAACTTTGATTGGAGCCGGATGTTTTTATTTTATTTTAAAAAATATTTTATTTAGGGTCCCTGGGTGGCTCAGTTGGTTAAGCGACTGCCTTCGGCTCAGGTCATGATCCTGGAGTCCCGGGATGGAGTCCCGCATTGGGCTCCCTGCTCAGCAGGGAGTCTGCTTCTTCCTCTGACCCTACCCCCTCTCATGTGCTCTCTCTCTCTCTCTCTCAAATAAATAAATAAAATCTTTAAAAAAATATTTTATTTAGGGGTGCCTAAGTGATTTAGCTGGTTAAGTATTTGCCTTCAGCTCAGGTCATGATCCCAGGGTGCTGGGATTGAGCCCCCCCCCCCAGCTCCCTGTTCAGTGGGGAGCCTGCTTCTCTTTCTCCCTCTCAAATAAATAAATAAATAAAATCTTTTTTAAAAATTAAAAAATGTTATTTGTTTGAGAGAGAGAGAGCATGAGCGGGGGGAGGGGCAGAGGGAGCTCTAACTGAGCCACTCAGGTGCCCCCTTTGTGCTGTTCTTTCAGTGTCTCTGAAAAATTGACAATTTTGAAGATAATAGGTGTGCATGTGTCGGCAAGGGTGGGGGGAGCTCATGCATGTGATTTCTCCTTGACCAGACATTCTGACTCTCACTTTATGGCTCTGGAGGTGGTTCTCAGTAGTCAAGGCCAAGGCCACCCAGGTGGTCAGTGCAGGGCTGAGCACCCACCTGGTGTTCCAATCTCATTTCCCAGGGTTCCACCAGAGACAGAGGCCAGGATGAGCCAGAGAGTGGGGAGAGGTGGGTGGGTCTCCAGATGAGAGACCAAGACTAAAGCTTACAACTGGCAGCAATTTGTGACAGATATGTTCCCAAGGCCGACCAAAGTGGCTCTGCCCACTTCAGAGGCCTCTAGTGGGTACACTCTTGGGAGCTGGGTGATGGGCAGGAGAGGCCCTTGTTTCTCTTTCTTTCCTATTTCTTTCTTTTTTTTAATTCTGGATTCTTCCTGGGTCTACCTCTCTGGAAAGTATCCACCCCCAAGTAGCAATAAAAAGCTTTAACTGGCCACCAGGGGGCAATGGTTTCACACACAGACGACCTCCCAAGCTCACTTCCCAAGTGCCTACCAGCCCCTCTCCTGCCAGAGAGTTAAGGGGCTACTCACTCTTTCCTTGTGGGGCCGCCCAGATCTACCAACAGGGAGATGCCCCAAGTTCAGCCTCACCCAGAGGACTCAGTTCAGTCCTTCAGCACAACTCAGAGGGCTTTCATCGTCCTGACTAGGCCAGCACTTTTGCTCCAGAGTTTTGAGGCACATTTATATTTTAATTTGGGCCAAAATTACTTTATGGAAACAAAAACCCAAGCTCCAACATTTGTCTGCCCTCCCTGCTCTCTGACCTCAAAGCTACAAATGAGCTTCTCCCCAGTCTGTCCCCTGACCCACACCCCATGGACATCCCAAGCAAGGGCAAGGGAAAAATGGCTCTCGCATCACTCTGCACCACATAAAGGGAGTAGAGCAGTGCTGGGCACCTGGACGACAGCACGTGGTGGGCGTGCGGGAGTGTTAGCAATCGCAGTTCTCATTCTTACTTAGCAACAACACAAATGACCACAGCTAACAGTCGGTCCCATCACTTACCCATTTTACAGCTGAGGACAACAAGGCTCAGAGGTACAGACACTTGCCAAGGAGGTAACCCAGCCTTGGCAATGCCGCCAGGGAGAAGTCAGCCTGGCCAAGAGCTTTGGGCAGTTTATTGAGACCCCCTTGTTGCGGGGCTAGGGGGCTCCCTGAGGCTCCTGTTCAGTTGGGGGGAATGAGGTGTGGCAGAACAGAGGAAAGTGGGTTTTAAACCTGGCTGGTCACTTCCCACCTGAGGAGGAGGATTGATGGGGATGCTGAAGACCAGGCTTCCATCCTGGACACCTGACCAGGCTGGCGCTCATCTCTCCAGCCAGCCTCCCCCTTCCTGCTTCTCCCCAGTCTCCCGCCCAGCCGCCCAGCTGCCCAGCCGCGGAGCCAACATTCTTTCCCGCATTTGGCATCTGACCCCACATGGGGCACTTTCCACCCCTTGGCGGCTCTCTGCAGGGACTCCACCACTCACCAGCAACCTGTCTCTCCCTGTCCACTGTCGTGCTGTGCCACAACCATGGTTGAGTGTCTCTCTCCCCTTGGCAAGTAGGAACCCTGTCTTGTTCAAAATGGTTCCCCTAGCTCTTGAAGGGGCTTCAGTGTTTGTTAGTAGAAATAACAAAATGAGAATGATAATGCCTACCTGGAAGGTGTGCTTACTGAGGAATGCATGCAAAAATGTCTGGTGCAGAAAAGCTCTCTGATAAGTGTTCAGGAAAATGGGCTTTTGTTTCATTGTTTTGGCAGCATGAGCAAAATAATAGAACCAATCACGGGTAATCAGTCACCTTGTAATAATAGCTGGTAGGTATTGAGTGCTAGTATGTATGGGCTCTCTGCTCAGGGTTGCTTAATCCCACCCCAGCCCACGTGGTAAATTATAATTTCTCCACTTGACAAGGGTAAAGACCACGCTCCGGGAGGATGGGTGACTTGCTCAAGGTCACACCAGGTGGAGCCAAGATTTTTTTAAGGTAAGAACACTGATCTTGACCACTATGCAAAAAAGCTCAGAAACAGAAAAGGACCCAATTTCTCTCCCTCCCTGTGCAATTTGCCTAGTTTTAGCCAGAATATCCCAGCGCGAATCGGAGGGAAAAAAATGAGATTCTGAAGTCTAGCCCTTGGGCCTAGACACACACAGGGGTGCCCGGAACCTCCAGGTGAGGTCTTGCCAAAAGGTTTGAAAGAGATGGAATTTAAGGGAAGTTGGCCTAAGAGTCTCTCCCTCCCCCCTCAGTCTTCAGGACAAAAGCTCCGTTCATATGCACATCTGTGGGGGGTGGGAGGCTCTTCAGCCACCCTATCTGGAGCCCAGAGAGGTGGGGAGGCAATGGCTGGACCTGCCCAGGGTGGAGGTGCTGCCACAAGACCCACGCAGACAGCAGGAGAGCCCAGAGCCAGGATCCTCAGCCAGGAACCCTCCCTTTCTCCCTGGACATGGCTGGCAGGAGATTGGCTGGCTTGTTTCTGTTGGCCAGGCTCCCTTCCCGGTGCTGGGGTGAGTCGGTGAGGCCGGCCGGTCCACCTGGGGACACATGGAGCCTGCCTTACCCTCCCCAGTGGGTGCAGCAAGCCCATGCTACAGGAAGTCCCACCAGCCTCCTTGATGACCCCATAGCTACAGGTCCGCAGAGCTGGCTGGCACTGGGCTCCCAGCATAGACGACCCACATCCTCCCAAGACTTCTTTCCAGCTTCCTAATCCCCCATCCCATCGCTGAGGCCCGGGTCCCCCTTTTCCCTCTGAGCTGCTAGGAACTCCTTAGGTCTGTCCTGGCAGCCTTCACCCCAGGCTTCCCTGCAACTCACCACTCGGGGTCCCCACTCCAGAGATGGAAGTGCTAGGGGTTCTTTGAGGGCCCCAGGGCCAGAGTCAGCCTCGACCAGACTGGGAAAGGACTCCGGGAAAACTGAACAGGAAGTTCCCTGCTCTAGTCCCATCCAGGTAATGAGGGGGCTTCCTCGAGTTAACCCTTAACCTCCCAGTTTGGGAGTGGGGTGGGGGAGAGGGCGGGGCCAGAGAAATGAGGGCAAAGTGGCTAAGCCAGACTCCAGCCTGGGACCGAGAATGAGAGTCTAACTACCCCTCCAGGTAAGAACTGCTCCCCTCCTAATCAGGACTGTTCCTGTTCTCCTTGTGGGGAGGGGGTCTGTCAGCCGTACTTTCTGGGGAGACCGGAGCTGCCATTTTAAAAGGCCTATTGTGCGCTGGGCTCTTTGCTAGCATTTCATTCATGCGACAGATCTCTGCCAAGGGCCTGCTATGTGCCAGGCACAGTTGCAGGTGCTGAGGTGAACAGGAGCAGGCCCCGACCTCAGACGGCTTACACGCAGGTGTGCTGGAGCTGTCCCGGGGTAAGAAAACAACATGACCACGTGACGGGGGAAGAAAGCGCGCCATCAACACCACCTAAGATCTTCCCAAGAATCTTGCCTGGTGGCTTTTGTCCCAGCTTTCCCAAAGAGGAAGCAGGGACTTCCGGGAGGGGATGTGACCTCCCCACTGGCCTTGAGCCCTACTCTACCTCTAAAGTCAAGCCTTTCCCTTTGCTCTGAGGTGTCTTTTTGGGTCGTGCCCTTGGCTGGCCGCAGCCCGTAGGGCGCTTTCCTCGGGAGAAACTGCGGTTCAGAGCCCGCGGGCACTCTCGTGGCACCACCTGTTCCGGGCACCCGGGACACCTGCTCGGTGGCCGGAGGCTCGGCATTGGCCGCCTCTCGGCCTAGGCCCGTTGATCGGTCGGGGCCAGACCCTGCGCTCGCTCTGGCTCTTCTGCCGCGTCCTTGTCTCCCTGTACGTGGTACCTGGGCTTATCTTGTTCCTTTATTTTCATTGTCTAGTGTGGGCCTCCCTGGACCGCAAGCTCCCTGTGGACAGCGGTGTTTCCCTTGTCTGCGCCGCATCCTCCACACCTAGCCCAGAGCTGACATGTGTCAAGACGGACGGAACGGCTTAGGAGCCGGCCCGCGAGGCCCACCGCCCTCAGAGGTGTGCAGCGCGCCGGGCGCCCAGAGCTCAGCGGCAGCGGCTGCGAAACCCCACCTACCCGACCGGGCTTGGTCACCAGACCCCGAGGCGGGGCCTGGAAACCCCCTCCCCTGGGCGGGGCCCGGCAACCTCCTCTTCTGGGCGGAGCCTGGGACCTCCACCCCTCGGGCGGCGGCGCCTCCCGCACGCGCAGGTCTGGATTCCTCCCCGCAGCCCCCGCCCCCAAGCCTGACCGGCTCCCCGGGGGCTGTGACCTTGTGGAGGACGTGGCCACGTCTGAGCCCTGGGAGGGGGGACGGCTGCGCTGCGGGCCACGGGGCCTGTACGGCTACGGTGGAGGGGACCTGCTGGAACGTGCGCTCTCCGGGTAAGGATCGGAGTCCGCAGTGAGGGCCTGGGGGAGCTGGCTGAGAGCGCGGCGGGAAGGCTCGGGGTTCCGCTGTTAGCACTGATTTCCAGGCCTTTGACTCAGAAGTGATATCTTTTCTGGAAAAGTGTCAGAAAAGCAGAGACCGGCTTGGCCAAACCACCAGAAACAGCATCCAGGCAGAAGGGCTTGGCGCCCGCATTGAAACAAGACTAACACTAGCTTTTGGTCTCCTTCATTCCTAAACCTCTGCCCGGGCTTTGCTTGGCCAAAAACCCTGCTCCTGGCCCACCGCCTGCGTGCACCCCTCATTCATTCGGGAAAGGTTTGCTTCCCTCCTGTGCGTCTGGCGCTGTCTCTGCCCCGGGAACCCAGTGCTGCGCCGGACAAGTGCTGCCCCCGTGAGGCTTAATCTGGGCAGCCAGGTCACCAAACCTGGGATTCCTTTTTTTTTTTTTTTTAAGATTTTATTTATTTATTTGAGAGAGAAAGAGCACAAGCAGGGAGCCCAACTTGGGGCTGAATCCCGGAACCCTGGGATCCTGACCTGAGCCGAAGGCAGGGGCTTAACCAACTGAGCCACCCAGGTGCCCCTGGGGATTCCTTTTGACTTCTTTTTTTAAAAATTTTTTATTGTTATGTTAATCACCATATATTACGTCATTAGTTTTTGATGTAATGTTCCATGATTCATTGTTTGTTCATAACACCCAGTGCTCCATGCAGAATGTGCCCTCTTTAATACCCATCACCAGGCTAACCCATCCCCGTACCCTTTTGACTTCTATTAACTAAACTGACTTTGCAGAGAAAGGCTTAATGAACAGTTATGTCCCTTCCAATTCTTCCTGATCTTTGTAAATACACTCCCCTCTCCCAGTGGTACCCGCTAAAGATGAAAATTCTTTTTTTTTTTAAGATTTTATTTATTTATTTGAGAGAGAGAGAATGAGAGATAGAGAGCATGAGAGGGAAGAGGGTCAGAGGGAGAAGCAGACTCCCTGCTGCGCAGGGAGCCTGATGTGGGACTCGATCCTGGGACTCCAGGATCATGACCTGAGCCGAAGGCAGTCGCTTAACCAACTGAGCCACCCAGGCGCCCTAAAGATGAAAATTCTTGTGAAGTTGCTGGATTGTTACTTATTTCCACAAGTGATAAACACACCTCCAAAGGAGAGACTTTTAATAATAATCTACCTATTTGGGGTATATTTCAATACCTCCTAAAATTATTTTTGAAAATGCACACAAACTATTCTAGATGTTACCTTACAATTTTTTTTTGAAGTATCTGGTGTCAAAAAAAAAAAAAAAAGGAAGAAATCTATTTTTGTTTTTGTTTTCTGATTTAATAATTCTTTAATTTTTGTAAAGATTTTATTTATTTATTTGACAGAGAGAGAATGTGAGAGAGAGAGAGAGTGTGTGTGCACAAGCAGGGGGACTGGCAGGCAGAGCCCCTAAAATAAAAAACTTAATTAAAAAAAAAAGAATTATTAGGGATGCCTGGGTGGCTCAGTTGGTTGAGCGACTGCCTTCGGCTCAGGTCATGATCCCGGAATGCTGGGATGGAGTCCCACATCAGGCGCTCTGCTCAGCGGGGAGTCTGCTGCTTCCTCTGACCCTACACCCTCTTGGGCTCTCTCTCCCTCTCACTGTCTCTCACTCTCTCTCAAATAAATAAATAAATAATCTTTAAAAAATAAAAACTTAAACAATTTTAAAAAAGAATTATTAGGGATGCCTGGGTGGCTCAGTAGGTTAAATGTCTGCCTTCGGCTCAGGTTATGATCGCAGGGTCCTGGGATCAAGTCCCGCATTGAGCCCCACATCAGGCTCCTTGCTTAGCAGGGAGCCTGCTTCTCCCTCTCCCTCTGCCTGCCGCTCCCCTGCTTGTGCTCTCTCTCTCTCTCTCTCTGTCAAATAAATAAAATCTTTAAAAAATTTTTTTAAAAATAGTTTTAAAAAGTTTTTGTTTTAATTCCAGCATAGTTAACACGCAGTGTTATATTAGTTTCAGGTGTACAACAACTTTACTTATCAAATGTGAAGACATTTTTTAAGTCTAGTGTCAGCCAGTTAGAGCACCTGACTGATGGCAGTCTTCCTCTCTCCTCTTTGATCTTTCCAGAGATGACAAAAGAAAGACAAGTTTTCCTGTATTTTCTGTTTCCATAGGATTCACCCATTCAGAATAATTCAGGGCAAAGGGAGAAATCCTTCTCCAGCTCTGGGAGAGATTACTATAAAGATCTCTGTTATCTATTATTAAATAGCCTCTGGTTATTCCAGCGGCTCAAATGCCTGTCTCTAAGTCGTGTTAAGTAGCATCTTTACCTGCAGCTGAGACCCCAGCATTTTCCTGTGGTGCTTGCAGTGAAGGACTGCAGGGTGTGGAGGGCGCAGCCGTCACTGAGGACCAGCCCTGGGACAGACACGGGGGGATGTTGAGAACATGAGGTGAGCCTTGGGCCCGACCCCGTACTTCTCTGGTGTCTGTAAAATCGCTCCCCCCACCCCAAGCCTCTGGTCTGTCTCATTGGCTCCAGAGGCCTGAGCTGCAGCCTCAGCTTTGCCATTTGCCACTATCCGTGTGCCTTCAGCATCATTTAATGGAATCCATTCTCTCCGCTGCTCAAAGCTCCTCTATGGTTTCCCACTGCACCTTTGAGCTACATGCAGACAGCTCACCCCCGGCGCCCACCCGCAGTCATGTCTTCTGCTCTCTTCCTTTGCCCACCAGTCTCTGAGCACACCAGCTCCATCCTCCTCACTGCCCTGGCCTGGAAGGGATGCTCTCGCCCCCACCCCTGCTTCATTCGGAAATGCCCACCAGTGATGTCAGTCTCCTTGTGGAGGCTGCGTCTGCCCATTCTTGTGACAGTGTCCCCTCTGTCACCTCTCTGTCCATGCTTGTTCCCTTCTCACATGTGCCACAGTCTAATTCACTTGTCGCTTTTTTGTTTGCTTGGCTTTCGTCTGTCCCTGCACCAGATGGTCAGCCACAGAGCATGTCTCCGTGGGTCGCTGGTTCCCGGTGGACCTCTCAGTGGGTTTGATCTTCTCCTTCCTTCCTTATTGTCTGTCTTCTCTTTCTCCATTTCTCCCAAAGTCTCTGCTCATCAGCCTCCTGCACCAGCCTCACCTGTGAGCATTTACTGAGCAGTACGTGTTGGCACCCGCGAGGCTCTGGCCTGGGGGCCTCCAGTGATCCTTGCCTCTCGTTGGTCTCACCCTTGTGTAACCCACTCCCTTTGTGTGGGGGCTGGATTTAGTGATTCACTTCTTTTTTTTTTTTAAGATTTTATTTGTCAGAGAGCGAGAGAACAAGCGGGGGGACTGGCCGACAGAGCAGGCAGAGCGAGAAGCAGGCCTCCCACCGAGCAGGGAGCCCGATGTGGGACTCGATCCCAGGACCCTGGGATCATGACCTGAACTGAAGGCAGATGCCCAACCGGCTGAACCCCACAGGCGTCTTGTGATTCACTTCTAATGAGCAGAATTGAGTAGGAGCAGAGGCGTGTCACTTCTGAGATTAGGTTGTAAACAGACTGTGATTTCTCGGCGGCCCTCACGCGCTCCAGATCTTGCTGGCTCACCCTGGGGGAACCATGTCTGAGGAGAGGCCCTTGTGGTGAGGGACGAAGGCCAGTCAACTTGGACTCTCTCCCACAGTCAAATGGATGACTTGACCACGGCTATTGACCTTGAGCTTGAGGAGCTAGAGGCACCCAGCTAAGCCCTGTAGGGTACAGAAACCATGAGATAATAAGTATTTATTTTAAGCTACAATGTTTTGGGATCTTGGTTACACAGCAATAAGTAACTAATATACCTCCCTTGCTGGTTTCATAGCTGCCTCCATAACCATTCTCAGTGCCAATATCCCTGTATTTATATTTTCTTTCTCGACTCTTTGCCCTTGATGTTGCCACCTGGATATCTCATAAATGCCCCAGAGTCTTTGTGTTCAAGACCAAGCTCACGCAGCCCCTTGCAAGCTCCACGGCAGTGGCTCAGTTGCCGTTGCCCGCTGCGTCCCCAGTGCCCGGCACGTAGCAAATCCTCACTACATGTGTCTCCAGTGAGTCCTCCACATCAAATCTCTGTGCCTCTGATATTCTCTAGTCTGGTAAACATGTCACTCAAGCCAGAAATTGGGATTTATCCCTGATCCCCCGCTTTACCTCATTCTCACATCTCGTCAGTCTCCCAGTTCCGTAGGGTTAATATCCTAATATTTTACAAATCTGCCTATTTCTGTACTTCCACTGCTTGTCATCCAAGTCCAGGCCACCATCGTCACCTGCCAAGGCCATAGCAATGGCCTCACTGGTTTTTCTCTTTTTTAAAAGACTTTATTTATTTATTTGACACACACAGAAAGAGAGCACACGCAGGGGGAGTGGCAGGCAGAGGTTGAGGCGAAGCAGACTCTCCACTGAGGAGGGACCCCAACGTGGGGCTCCATCCCAGGACCCTGGGATCATGACCTGAGCAGAAGGGCCAACTTGTAACCAACTGAGCCACCCAGGCGCCCCACTCGTTTCTCTTTATTCACATTTTTTTTTAAACAAAAGTTTTAGGTGTAACATACAGAAATGTACACAAACCAAGAATGCAGAGTACCATGAATTTCCACCCAAGTGAGGACAGCCATTGCATTCCTGGCCTACTCTGGTGCCCCCTTCTGGTCATGTCCCTCCCCCATAATCACCATCTTAACTTCCCAACTATAGCAGATACATTTGGTCTGGGTTTGAACTTCATGTAAATGAAGTCACAGAATAGGATTTTTTGAAAAAGATTTTATTTCTTATTTCTTTTTTTTTTTCAAGATATTTAACTTAGTTATTTGAGAGAGAGCAAGCGAGAGTACGAGCAGGGGGTGGAGAGGGAGAGGCTGACTTCCCATTGAGCAGGGAGCCCAACGTGGGTCTTCATCCCAGGACCCCAGGATCATGACCTGAGCTGAAGGCAGACACTTAGTCAACTGAGCCACCCCAGGTGCCCCTAAGATTTATTTTTAAGTAATCTCTAAACCCAAGGTAGGGCTCAAACACACAACCCCAAGATCAAGAGTTGCATGCCGTACAGTCTGAGCCAGTCAGGCACCCCAAGGAATTCTTCATCTTGCTTACCCCATAGTGGGAGACCCAATCCATGTGTTGCTTGTTTCCTGAATGGTGTTCCTTGTCGCATTATTTGTTTATCCCACCTACCTAGACAGTAGGTGGTTTTCTGTTTGGGACTACATGTAGTAGTTCTTGTAAGTCTCTGGTGACCATGGGATATGAGTTACTGCTGGGTTTCTACCCAGGAGTGAATCGCTTATGTCACAGAGTATGTAGATGTTCAGCTTTAAAATATTCTGCCACCCACTTGTCTAGAGAGCTTGCAATCTTTCCCCTCCCACCATCTACAGACTCATCTTGTGTATATCTTGCCCTGGTCCTAGGATCAGCCATTTCTCCAAGGGCCCTGATTCTTATCATTAGCTGATTCCCCCCCACACACACATTATAAAACATTCACAAAGGGGTGCCTGGGTGGCTCAGTCAGTTAAGAATCTGACTCGATCTCAGCTCAGGTCTTGATCTCAGGGTTGTAAGTTCAAGCCCTGCATTGCGCTCCATGCTGGGCATAGAACCTACTTAAAAAAAAAAATCACAAAAATTGAAATTTTGAAAGGATGAGATAAAGTAAAAATAAATGGAAACTCTACATTTTTTTTCCACACCCACTGAAGTAAAAGAATATAAAAGATTCTGTGTGAGACCACAAGATCTGTAGAGGGAGTCTGAGGGCTGGGAGTGGGGGAGGGAGAATGTAGCAGGATGAAGGGTTGTAAATATAATCCAAAACTGCCATCAAGGGTGGGTGCTTGGGTGCCATTTGCTACTATGAGGGGCCTCCAGTAAAGGTCCTCTGGTGCTGAGCCCGGCAGGATGCCTTCTGTGTCCCCCTCTCCCCCCTGCCTCAGTGTCTTAGGTTTGCATGAATGAATGTAACCTGAAACTCTACCCGAGAGGGACACTTTAGGTATGAGATAGTAGGAGGTGGCAGCTGCAACGAAGGCTATTTTGGGATGATGACACTCTCCTGGTTTCCTAAAAATGCACCAATCTCTAAAGAAAAAGTAACTTAATTTACTCTAATTTCCACACCAAAGGGCCAGCCAGAGTGAGTTTTGAGCTATAGCTCAAACTAGCGCTGAGGCTTAAGCTGCTAGCCTTGACAATCATGGAAGGAAGCACTTGGCGTTGCTGCCTAGGAAGGGGCCTCTTGGCCTTTTCTGGAGCTTGCCCAGGGCAGGAAAAGGCCATTTCTGCTGACTGTGATGGGCAGGCTGCTGGGTCAGCCATACAAAGGAATGTACCATAGCTAAAAACCAGCAAGGCACCGCTTGAGATTTACAGAACTCTCAGCACATAACCATTCCTAAACCAGCACGGAAAGACTTGACCAGACTCTAGAATGGCTTCCAGCAGCGCATGGCTAGGATGACCGCAGCCCTGCCTGAGAAAGCTCAATGCTGCAGGGAGAATTTAGTGTTTGTTCCAGCCAACAGCTGACCTCCCTTTCTTAGAGCATTTACTAAAAAGGGTTTATTATTGTATGTGTCTCAAAACCGAGAAGCATCTGTCATGGGAGAGCCATTCTTTTGGAGGGACCTGGCTTCTGTCTCCCTTCTCCGTGGGAGGATAGACTGCTGACTTCCATACCTGCCAGTGACACACCTCCTGGCCTGGTCACACCCCCACGGACCCGCTGTCTGTGATCGTTCACGACCCTGACTCTAGTGGGTCTTGCGCTCCTCCTCCCTCCTCCCTTTAAAACCCCAGTCACCTCTGCACAAACCCGACAGCGCTCAGTTCTTTCCCCTGCTGTCAGCAGTTACTGAATAAAGCCTGCTTTCGCTGCCTTGACGGATGTCTGGCTGTTTGGTTTTGACACAGCATGGTTTTTGTCCTCTCTGTTTTTATATTGAACAAGGTATGCGTCACAGAGGGGGCAGGTCGGCAGCATATGCTATACTCCCGTTTTTGAAACAAAATTCAGAACAGGTGAGTGTCGGAGGCCGGACCGGGCGCCGGGCCCTCGCGCAGACAGCTTCAGTTTCCCCACGCGAGACGCCGACTCGAGGGCTCGTGGCCGTCCTCCTCGCGGGCCTCACCGCCCCGGCTGTCCCCGCGCACGATGCCCACTGGCGGGCGCCGGGAGAGAGCCGGGAAACCGGAAGTTGAAATGAGGCAGCCGGACGGGAAACGCGGGCACACCGGCCAGAGGCAGGCCGTCCAATGTGACCCTCCCCCCTCGGCGGGGCTGTCCCTCGGGGGGGCGCGGACGGGAGCGCGCAGCTAGGGGCGGGGCCCTGGACTGGCGGATGGGCCAGGCCGTCGGGCGCCAGCCAATCACCGGTGGCTCCCGTGGGCGCGTGGGCGGGGCGGCGTCGCTGCCTGGGCGACGCGATGCAGCGTCTGTGTTCGGCCGGCTGGGGGCTGGAAGGCGGTGACTCGTGGGCGTGGGGTTCGTGGGCCTCCCGCGGCCGGGAACGGTGGTTCGTGCGGCCGCCTGGCGTCAGGGCACGGGGCCTCGGGCTTGCCGCTGGCCGCGGGGGCGTCCACGCCCTGGTCTCAGTGGCCCTGAGGGTTCTTAGTTATTTGCTTTTAAAAAATTTGTATTCCTGGGGCCCCACCTGATTTCCCCACCTATCTGCTTTCCTTTTTTTTTTTCTTTTTCCGTGGTTAGCATTTGCTCTGCTGTTTACTCGATTATCCCTGTTTTTCCTGGCCTCTCTCACATTCCTTTATTTCTCCTTATCTTCTCTCCTTCCTAAGGCTAGATGAGAGTTCTGCATTACCCTGTCTCCAGCCTGGCTGAACAGCCGTAATTAGTACAAGCTTTCTTCCCTTTCCTTTTTAAACATTTTTTCCCCTTCTTACTTCAGGTGGCGCCTTTTTCTAGTTCTTATTATTCTGATCGGTTTTGTGGGACCGGAGTCAATTCTCAGGCCAATGTCTGAAGGTAGATCATGGTTTATTAACTGAAGGTGACCTCTTCTTAAGCTCAGTGAAGCCGCCAGATGCGGGAATGTTTGCTCGGTCTGAAGCCCAGATAAGCGCCTCCATCCGTGATAGTTATCCTTGTGACAGGCTCCTGAGGTGAGTACATCCCCGAACTGGTGCCCCATGAGCTAGACAGCAGGTGTTTTCTGCTGAAGTTGTATGGAGTTCTTAAATTTTTATTTGAATCATCAACATTTTAAAAGTTCGGATATTTCACATATAAATCTAATTCTTTTTTTTTTTTGGCGTCTCTTGAAAAATCCTCAAGCTTTGGCAATATTGAGCCCCAACTGCCCCCTTTGAACAAAATATGAATCCTTGAAACCCCTGCAGCTCCTCCCCCACTACCATCTTGCACCCAAGCCACTGGTCATTTGTGGTGCTGTCTGTTTGCTGGAGTCATTTAGGTTTTTGATCTCTGCTTTCCCTGGTGCCTTTCTGCGGTCTTTTAGGGACTGCAGTTCCCACACAGCAAATGTGAACACCCTTTCTCCTAGACCTGCTCAGTCCTAGAGCCAGCCCTGGAGGTGTTTCCTCTCACCTCCAGGAAGGGTCTAATGTCTTTCATATAGTAGGTGCTCAATAAATATTTTCTGAACAGTTAAATAAATGTTGAGACTTCATTTGGTTTAGTTTAGGTGATCTCGTGGTGGGATCCAAACTGCTGGACTTCCCCAGCATCCCTGAAGTGGCCCCTTTTGTCTGGTAGAGAATCATTTGCCCAAGAATCAGGACACCCCCACTGTATTGGGACTCGGTGCATGCCTAGAGCTGACGTGGGCTGAAATGGGTCACCACAGGAGTGAGTCTCCTTACTCTGGACACTGGTCATGTTCCTTGTTGGTGGAGAAACATTCACAGACTGAGTAGTTAATCTTTTTCACAGCCCCCTGTGACTTCTCAGTTTATAGTTCTCTGGCTTGACAATCGTATTGACTTTTGCTACAACTTTGGACATCCCTCTTTACCTTGAGGATTAAAACTCCTGGAAATACTGACCAGAGGCAAACCCCAAGGCTAATATTTTTTGTTCATCAAAGTGACAGTAGGATAGATCAGAATCCTAAAACATGCTTAACTCCAAAAGCAGAGTTGCAAATTCAGAATGCTGCAGGGGCAAGTGGGGACCAAATGCAGCTACATGAGAGCAGCCTCCGAATGTGGGGAATATGAGTGCAGGGTTGCCTGATGTTCTGATTTTTCAAGAAAATCGATTTTATGAGAACTTTACTAATTGTTAAATGTTGGAAAACTAAAGTAGTTAACCCCCTGTGGGCCCACACAGCACACCTGTAGGCCGGCACAGGGCCAGGTGTGCCTGTCTTACTGGGTGAAGAGTCAGAGGATTCTGATGACTGGAGGCCACGGGCATGGGGAGGTTTCCTGGAGTCTGACTCCAGAGCTGGCCCCACTCGTCTCCTGAGACCCATCCTCAATGCCCTGCTCAGGGGGGAGATGGGTTCTTCAACCTAGAAGTGAAGCAGTCTCAGCCTCCATTTTGGGAGCCTTGGTTCTCAGGGCCCAAAGGGAAAGCCAAGACTGGGAGATGGAGTCTGGGACCCTATTGACGACTGGGTCAGACCCCGTTACCCCTGTTACACTCCCCAGCCTTGAGACGGAGCTGGGGAGGAGGTCTAGAGGAATCAGATTGGCCCGACACAGGGGTGAGGGTAGGGGGTAGTTCCCAGGCCTGTTTGCTAAATTTGCTCTGAGGGAGAGAGAACTCCACGCCAGTCTTGGGGAGAGCCCAGAGGACCTGCTCACCGGCCTGGGGGCCTTAGGTGAAATCCAGGAACGTCTCCACGGAGACACCATAAGACCTTCAGAAGCCCTGTGTGTCAAAAAGGACCATCGTGCCCCTCCACCCAGAAAAAGTGCCCTTCCTTCTGTGAGAACAGTTGCAGTGCCCTGTTTGAAATGTCAAATGTCAGAATCCTTGCACAGAATTTATTTCCCCATTTTGGCGTCCCTGCTTTGCTGGCATCACAAGTGCATGCCAGGTAAAGCGATCGTGAGCAGGCAGCGCAGACCTAGGACTCACCTCCCGGCTGAGAGCAGGTGCAGCACAGCTCAGGACCCCAGACCCGGAACCCTCGAAGCCGGGAACCCTGTAGGGCTGCAGCTGCGTGGGGAACGGGATCTGGGAGGGACTTCCTGTTGTCCCTAATCCCAGTCTCCACCCGGCTCCCCGGCCCGGTGCAGGCTGTGGAGTCTCCCTTCCTGGGGGGAGGGGGCCCCCACCACCCGAGGTGCCCCCTCTGCCTCCACCTCGGTGAGAGGGGCATTGGGAGGGGGCCTGGATCCCGAGATCCATGTGGGTGGCCGGCTGGCAGGAGGGGACGGGGTCAAAGGTGGAAGGCTTCAGGCTGGTGGGGAGAAAAGCGGGCCTGGACCCAGGTTCGGGAAGGGGAAGGACATGGTCCGTCCAGGCCCCTGAGCAGGATGAACCTGGCGGGTGGTTGCAGCTGCAGGCCGCTCAGTTTCTGGATCCCAGGCGGGGCTGAGTCAGGTCGAGCGCAGGGTGTGTGTGTCCTGGGCCCGGGAGACAGTGGGGCGTCAATTCTCCCGCTGAGCTGGCTGTGACGGGTGTGGCCACACCTGTTTTTAGGATCTCTGCAGACCTTTTGGCTCCTGATGGCAGGAGAGACAGATTCTAAGTCAGCCCTGGCTTTCCCTAACTGGGCTGCTCTGAGATGCAGAGTCCTGGCTTAAGTGACAAAGGGGACGATACAAAATAGCATTCTGTCAAGCGAGGGACCAAAAACCATCATAGAGAGTGAAGTCACTGGGAGGCATCTGGGAGGCTTTATTTCTGATTGGGACCAAGGATGGGTCTGGTCCTGCGTGGCAATTTTCACAGTGCTTTAGAGGTGCCCAGCAGACGCTGGCTGATTTCTTCCTGCTCTTTCAGGCTCCTGGCCAGAAGCTGGAGGGGGTTGGCCAACAAGAGGGAGAAACGACTCAGCTGTGCTTTCTACCTCTGACTCAGAAATGTCTGCAGACGGTGGAGGCACCCGGGTTGCCCAGGACAAGGAGCGAGCCCGAGAGGTATGGACGGGGTGCTGGGTGAGGGACGCATGTCCTGGAAGGACTGAGAGCAGGAGGAGATTTTCAAGGCAAGGAAGAGTTAGGCTCGCCAGGGTGCAGGGCTGGTGGAGGGGGGTGATGGCAGGTGTTGAAGAGATGGTGGTACAACAGGAAATGCCTTCCACCTGGGAGTCGACAGCTACCAAGCTGCTCCGCCGCTTTGCCTGGCAATTTCAGTCGTCATTTGGCCAAAGGCCATACGAAATAGCAAGGAGGCTGCATGGGGGTCCTCCTGGTGGGGTTGCTCTCTGAACAGTGCCCAGAGCACGCAGGGAGGCCTCAGTTTACCCTCCCTCTGCCTAGGACCCCATCTCCACTCTCTCTAGGTCTAAGCACCTAGTCCTTCATGTACCTGTTGCCCATGTGTGTAATCACAACCGGGGGGGGGGAGGGGCGGGCAGAGCCACTGGGCTTGGAATCAAAGGAATATGAGTCAGCTGCAGCCAGGTATGTGCCTTGGGCAGGTCCCCTGCCTCTGGGAGCCAGGAGTGTCACCTATAACATGTCTGTCACGGGCCTGCTGTTCCTACCTGTCTCATCTAGGTGGTTGGGAGGCTCAGAGCCTCCCTATTATATTGTAACATAAAATAACACCCACAGCAACTAGAACCTAGGTCAGAGAAACCTACAGCACCTCAACTAGTAGTTCCAGGGGTTGTAAGTTCAAATACAAATCAAGTGCAGATCTTCCTCGACTTGTGTTGGGGTTACATCCTGATAAACCCATTGTAAGTGTAAGAAGTCGAAAATGCATTTAACACACTAACCTACTGAACATCATAGCTTAATCTGCCTCCCCCAGACGAGCTCAGAACACTAACATCAGCCTATAGTTGGGCAAAATCGCCTCCCACAGAGCCATTTCATACTGAAGTGCTGAGCAGTATCTCATGTAATATAGTGAATACCGTACTGAAAGAGAAAAACGGGATGGCGGTCAGTCTGTCGGTCGTTTACCCTCGTGAGCGCGTGGCTGACGGGGAGCTTTGGCTCCTGCCCCCACATCCCCAGGGAGGACCGTGCTACAGATCGTTAGCCCAGCGGAAGATGCAAATTCAAAATTCGAAGTACAGTTTCTACCGAATGTGTTATCACTTTAGTGCCATCGTAAAGTCGACAACTGGTTAAGTTGAGCCGTTGTAAGTCAGGGACCGTCTGTATTAATTGTTCCATTTTCGTGCCATAGACGCACAAAGGAGTGTCAGCTTTGTTTGCTTTCCCTTCCGTGACCCCTTGGTAACACCCGATGGGCCTCACACGTCCCTGACGTTCTCTGCTACTGTTGGATTCTGTTAGCTCACACAGTAGGGTAATAATAATAATTATTGGCACCACTCTGTGTTTATCCAGAATGTTCCAGAGTGCGCAGCTCTTTCTCACAGGTTATCTGTGCATGAGGCAGAGCAGCTGAGTCTCAGAGGCTGCCTGGCCCAGGTGGCTCCCTGGCCTGAGGGTCTTTCCCTCTGAGACCCTAATAACATAGATGGTAGGTGGGGGGTGGTGGAGGGAGAAGCCTGGCCAGTCCCTGTGTTGTGGATGACAGGGAGGCCTCACCAGGGGCCTCCCAAGGCAAAGGAAGTGACTTTCCCAAAACTCTTGAGGTTTGTGTGAAGGCGGTGCCTGCTCCAGGTTGAGCAGCTAGTGAGGGGCCGGCCTGGATGGCTTGGATCTGAGTCCTGGTTGCCTGACTCCAAAGCCCCTTTCTCACCGTCCCAGGGGCTGGAGCTGAGGCTGGTGTGAAGAAGTGGGGACTGGGTAGGAGGACCCTGGAAGCACCATTGTGGTGGGTGGTGCTGCAGGGGTGAACCAGGAGGTTTTTCTTCTGTCTGACCGAGGTGGGCGTGGGCCTTGGCGCAGTTGGCGGTGCCCTTGGGCTTTTTTCTCCAAACCCCAAAACTCCAACTTCTGTGACCAAATTGAGTCAGGCTGGAAATGGCCCAAGGCCACATGATACCTCCCTGTCATCTCCAAGAAATGGTGGCCCTGGGGTTGACTTGTGAGTCAGATACCCTTGAGTTCCACCCTTGGCCGAGCACTCATGGGATCTGTGATCTAGGGCCGTTGTCTGATCTCTGAGCCCGGATACATCAGTTTCCTGTGTCTGTGTAACAACCAGAATTTATTCCCTCAGTTCTAGAGGCCAGAAACCCCAAATCACAGCACTGCGGGGGCTCCCTTCCCAGCCTCTAGGAAGAGGATCCTTCTGCCTCTCAGTGTCTGGTGGCTCCAAGTGTCCCTTGGCTTCACCCCAGCTCTGACTCCATCTTCACGTGGCTTTCTCTGTGTTTCCATGTCTTTTCCTCTTATAAGGACACCAGTCATTGGATTTAGGACCCAGTCTAAATGCAGGATGATTTCATCTCAGGATCCTTAACTAATTACATCTTCAAATAAGGTCATGTTCTGAGGTTCCGAGCAGATGTGAAATTTGGGGGGACACTATTCAGTCCACTGCACTTGGTTTCCTCAGTGTTAAACGGTAACAGTCCACACTGCTGTGGGTGGTACGAGGCTGGAATTGAGAAGGCATCTACTCTGTGGGCACCTGGCATGCCTGCCCCTGGCCCGACCTCGAGCCTGCCTTCCCTTGCCGCCGCGGCCTTGTGGAGGCAAAGCAAAGATGTGCGGGTCCCCAGGCCAGAAGAGAGCAAGGCCAGTCCTTCAATCTGTGCTTTGCATTTGGGTGTGTGTGGCCCCTGCCAGGACCCTCAGGTGTGGAGCTCAGCTGAGTCTCCCATACTCTGCCCGGGTGCTGATGGGGGCTGTCATTCCAAGGTTCCAGGTCATGAGCATCCTTGTCAAGAAATGCTTTCTGAGTCGGAGGAGATGGTGCCTTTGGGAGCTGCTCAGGAGTCACCCCACATCAAGACGGAGCCGGAAGAGCCACACCCTGAGGGGGCATCGCAGGGGGATGGGGCTCCAGGAACGCCAGGCTGGGTGTCCCTAAGCCAGGGCTCGAAGGAGAAAGCTCTTTTCCTGCCTGGTGGAGGTGAGGAGAGGGATGGAGAGGGACGTGGAGAGATGCACTTTGTTGGGTGGCAGCTGTGGGGAGAGGTGGAGGCTCACAGCATGGGGGGCGGCGCACAAGCTCTCCTGCCATGGAGCTGCCCGGATGTCTGCCCACCTGCCCCTCAGAGGCCGCTCCCGCACAACCTTAGAACCTACTGACCCTCTTATTGGGCCAGGTTGGGGGTGGAGTTTGAGGCAGCTGTGGTGTCCCTGGTAAGCCAGGCATGGTCTGCTCAGGGGGAGCGGCGGGGCCCAGCACGGTGAGGTGTCCGCCCTGAGGCCCTCTCTCCGCTCTCAGCCCTCCCCTCCCCCCAGATCCCCGGGCTTGCTCGCGAAGGGAGGACCAGAGACCGGCAGATGGCTGCGGCACTGCTTACAGCCTGGTCCCAGGTGAGCGTCCCTGTTCAAGTGCGAGGCTGGAGGAAGAGCACAAGGATATGGAGAAACGGCATGTCTGTGCCTCAGCGTCTGGATCTGAGCGCCGGACCGAGGGTGGGGGCCGGAGGGGGGCGCGTGGAGAGCCTGAGCTTTGGTTGTGGTGCTGGAAAGGGCCCTTGTCTTTGTCTTTTATTTTTATTTATTTATTTATTTATTTTTAATTTTTTTTTTTTAAGATTTTATTTATTTGACAGAGAGAGAGACAGCGAGAGAGAGGGAACACAAGCAGGGGGAGTGGGAGAGGGAGAAGCAGGCTCCCCGTGGAGCAGGGAGCCCGATGCGGGGCTCGATCCCAGGACCCTGGGACCATGACCTGAGCCGAAGGCAGACGCTTAGTGACTGAGCCACCCAGGCGCCCTGTCTTCGTCTTTTGTTTTCTGTTGTACACAACTGCTTTGTTATTGCCCGCCCCCCGGCAAAAGTCACCCTTGGGCGGTTGTCCTGCTTCACCATCAGACAAATTGGGAGGACAGGCCTTACTCGGGGCAGCAGGTTGGAGGCTGGGGAGGGGTCGCCCTCATCTTGGAGCCATGTGCCCCTCCACAGTGTCCCAGCGTGCCCTGGAGAGTGGGCATTGTGTGTTGTTTCAGATGCCAGTGACCTTTGAGGATGTGGCTCTATACCTCTCCCGGGAGGAGTGGGGGCGGCTGGACCACGCGCAGCAGAGCTTCTATAGGGACGTCCTGCAGAAGAGGAACGGGCTGTCCTTGGGTAAGGGCCCGAGGTTGTGCTGGGGTGGCTACTTACTGGGGCCCGGTGCCAGAGGTGGGGCCATCCCGCCGTCCCCTCCTTCCAGGGCCCAAGTTCCTTCTCATCGTTCATGTGGGCCGCTCTCTTCTATAACACCTTCCCGGTGGGGGACGGGTGCTCTGTGCTGACCTGGGGCCCGCGAGCCAGATGTGGCTGCTCGGCACCGGAAATGTGGCTGGAGCGCCTGAGTTCATATTTCATTTCCTTTTACCCGGCTCAAGTTTGAATTGCAATAGCCCCACGTGGCGAGTGGCTGCCGTGTTGGGCAGTGCTGGCCTCGAGGTTCTGCTCCCCGGCCCTTCTGTTTAGTCCGCTTCTCCCACCGTCGCGCTCCTCAAAGTCCCACCTGAGAGGTGTGTGCGCTGAGAGCTTGGCTGCAGATCGGGGATGCCTGCCGGGGGTGGGGCGCATGGGTGCCAGCTAATCTCTCTAGGCCCCCAGACCCTGAGCTGTCACGTCCACCCTGAGGGGCCTGTCGTTTTTTTCAGAGGGGCCTTGGCCCCCTCATTGTTTCTCATGGTAAGTAAAGTCCCAGCACTCCGACTCCTCCGTTTCAGACCCTGCTTTTGTTGGCAGAATTTAGGAGGTCTTGCGGACAGCTCCTGGTGCTCATTCCTTCATTGCCGTTCATTCATGTGTCTGGTCTGTCTGTCTGTCCGTCCATACACACCAGGGGCACACTTGCTAGTCCAGGGAGCCAGGGGCTTGGTCATTCCACCCTTGACTTCGGTGGTGGGCCTTGGAGTCAGGACAGCTCACTCCTTTAATTATCTCAGGTTTGCTTACCACCCATCCTTAGCACTCCCCAGGGCCCAGAGCGGCAGGTCCAGGCAAGTCCCGAGAGATCAGAGGGAACTCAGCTCCCATTTGCAGCCCCACAGCAAGCCTCACAAATGCCCTAAACCTGCTGGTGGGTCCAACACATTCCTTCCCTCCTGCAGGGTATGGATCAGGGCATGGAGGCTGGGGCCTCTGCTCTCTTACTGACTTGACCAGAATCCCCAGGCCCTTGCCCCAGGGGACTTGGCCAGTGGGCCTTTGGTCCCTGACTAGGTGGTCAGCACCCCTGGCCTCTTCTCCCAGGCCCTCCCACTGGGCTTCGTTGCACCCACTGTCCCTCCCCCAGGAGCCCTTTTTGCCCCTGGTCTGGGAAGGTGCAGGACTGGAGACATTGCTGGGCTCACTGCTGGGGGCCTGTGTGACAAAGGGGGTTGTCGGCAGCTGACCTCACCCGGCCCCTCTCCCTTTGCTCTTGTGGCTCCTTCAGGGAAATGAGATGGAGCCCAACTCAGCCCCGAGGAGAGTAGGTCTGGCAGTTACCCTACAGTGTGCTTCCCACAGAGGGCTGGACACCTGACCCCAAGCGATTTTTCAGCTTATGTCGTTTTACCCCATGTTTGCAGAGCTGCCTCCCCACTTCTGCCTCTTCACTTGGCAGGTGGGGGTGGGGGTTGTCTCCTGCTGTGCAGCCTGAAAGTTCCACAACTGAGTGCAGCATCTCGTCTCTTTTTGGCCAGGATTTCCCTTCAGCAGACCTTTCTGGGCCTCCCAAGGACAGGGCAAGGGTGAGGCCTCGAGCTCGTGCCGACAGATGGGAGATGAGGAGGAGAAGCCAGGTGCGTGCAGAGGTGGCAGGTGGGTAGGTCACTGTCACTCCCGGGTGCCCTTTGTCAGTGCAGGCCCTCTGTTTCCGGGGGTGCAGACGTGTGCCAGGGGCAAGGCTGCCGGCTTCCTGTCCTCTGCCGGGCAGGGGGGGTGGTTTTTCCTTCCAGGATCCTCATTCTTAACTCCATTTCCAGAATTTCCCTGGGTCCCTCATGGAAGTCTCTCTCTTGCTGGAAACTCTCTTTCTCCAGGAGCCACTGAGATGGGAAAGGAGGAGCCAGCCCCATCCCTGGTATCCCTGGCAGCCCTTGGGGATGTGAAGCCTTTCAGAAGCAGGGTGGGGAGAGCCCAGGGAGACATCCTGCAGTGCGGGCAGCAAGCAGGCAGCGGCCAGAGCTCGGGGCCAGCCAAAGACGATGGGCAGCCAGGTCCCCTGGAGGAGAGGCGGGCGAAACCGACCCCGCCCGACACCAGCCTCGAGAAGGCCCAGGAGGGCCACCTTCCAGAGAAACCCAGAGAGGGGCGAACGGGCAGCCCCGAGCGCAGCGAGGAGGGCCTGGCCCCCGACGGTGACGCCAGCAAGAAGACCTACAAGTGCGAGCAGTGCGGCAAGGGCTTCAGCTGGCACTCCCACCTGGTGACCCACCGGCGCACCCACACGGGCGAGAAGCCCTACACCTGCACGGACTGCGGCAAGCGCTTTGGCCGCAGTTCGCACCTCATCCAGCACCAGATCATCCACACGGGCGAGAAGCCCTACACCTGCCCCTCCTGCTGGAAGAGCTTCAGCCACCACTCGACGCTGATCCAGCACCAGCGCATCCACACGGGTGAGAAGCCCTACGTGTGTGACCGCTGTGCCAAGCGCTTCACCCGCCGCTCGGACCTGGTCACCCACCAGGGCACCCACACGGGCGCCAAGCCCCACAAGTGCCCCATCTGCGGCAAGTGCTTCACGCAGAGCTCGGCCCTGGTCACCCACCAGCGCACCCACACTGGGGTCAAGCCCTACCCGTGCCCCGAGTGCGGCAAGTGCTTCAGCCAGCGCTCCAACCTCATCGCGCACAACCGCACGCACACGGGCGAGAAGCCCTACCACTGCCTCGACTGTGGCAAGAGCTTCAGTCATAGCTCACACCTCACCGCCCACCAGCGCACCCACCGTGGCGTCCGGCCCTACTCCTGCCCCCTCTGTGGCAAGAGCTTCAGCCGGCGCTCCAACCTGCACCGGCACGAGAAGATCCACACGACGGGGCCCAAGGCACTGGCCATGCTGATGCTGGGGGCGGCGGGGGCGCTGGCGGCACCCCCGCCTGCTCCCACTTAGGAGGCATCAGGGCAGCGTGAGAAGGGGTGTGGGAAGGGAGCGGGAGGTGCTGGCATGGGGTGGGGCGTGGCAACACAGGAACTAGGGCGAGGCGCGGGCACGCTAGCTGCAAATTAAAGGCCTTGGAATTCCAGCCACCACTTATGTTCTGTCTCGTGGGGCCCTGGCGGTGAGTCCGACTGGGGGGCCTCCAGGGTCAGCCACGTCAGCATGGCTGAGGCATCCCTGAGTCATTGCTGTCAGGGCTTGGGTACTCTCTTTCCCTGCCTTGACCTGACTTGGGGCCAGTCCAGAGCATCCGGACCCTAAGTTTACAAGCAAAGGCTTCTGGGCACAGAGGTTTCCAAACCTGAAGCCAGCCAGCCACTTCTGAGACTGTGGATCCCCCTGGAGGGGTGGTCTGCTGCTGCCACCACTGCTCCTGGCCCCAGGGACATTGCCCCCTGAGCCCAGGACCCTCCCTTGGCTCTTCTTTTTGGGAGCTGGAGCAGGGTTGAGCCAGCTGGGAACTCATGTTCCTTGTCTGCGGCCCTCCCTGTCTCCTGTCTCAGGCACTGGAGGCCTGTTTTGTGACTGGACATTTTCCATGTGTTTCCACTGGGGCCCGGCCGTAATCCAGTGAGGATTCCTCCTTTACCAGGGACCACTGCCCCTCCTGGTGCCTTCTGAGGCTGCAGTCAGCTCCTTCTGGTACTCTTCACCTCCTTGGCATCTTTGTACATGTCCTTTATAATTTGCCCTACCTGCCCCTGTCTGGCTCTTTTAGTCTTGGCCTTCTGCTTTTTTGACCTCTGTATTTCTATTTCCCATTCTCTTTTTTTCCTGGGGAGGAATGGGCTCAGCCTGCTTATTATCCAAACCTTGCAGCTTGGCTCTCAAGATGACACTGGGTTCTGACACACCGACTGACCTTGAGGACACCTGCATGTGGGCGGCTGTTGAGACTCCACCTGCCTCCCTGAATCGGGGCCAGCAGGGTGGCTGCCGCCCTGGCTGGCTCCTGGCTCCCAGGGGAGTTGGAGCAGGAATGGGGACTGACGATAGTAGTAGCTGCCAGTCAAGGGGCCAAGTGCCATGTATATGTCACTTCTAGTCTTCACAGCTCTGAGCAGTGGACCCCGTCCCAGTCTTATAGATGAGGAAACAGCCGAGAGGTCCAATAACTTAGCCAACAACCAGAGAGATGGAAGCTGGGGTTCAGGTCCAGGGATTTTGTTGTGTAAAGAATACCCCTGCTTCCATGCATCCCAACGACTACTGGCTGGCTAATGCATGTTGTGAGGTGGGGCTGTCCAAAAAGAGTAAGACAGACTGTAGACTTGACCTTCAGGGCTGCTGGACTCAGCCGGAGATGGCGAGTCGGGGACCAGGTCATCAGCCAGATGCCAGGAAGCTGCGGACTAGTGGGAGCCCAGGCAGAACTTGGTTGTGTCTGGCAGCTCTCCGTGAGATCTAGGGTTGGGTTGCTGGCCGGACTGGTTGAATTAGATGGCTCTTGAAGACATGAGAAAGCAAGCTGTTTCTTCCCTTCAGCTTGTCTTCATGGCTTGGGTCACTCAGTCAGAAATGGGATTTCTCAGCTTGGCTCAATATAAGGGGCTGAGGAGGGCTTGTTCACATAAAGCAGGCTTGCAGCTTCCAGGAGCTTGTTTCCTGATGAAAGAGGCTGGAAGGACACTCGTTAAACTTGATACAAGCTTAGCACATTGGACTATTTGCACAGTGGTGATTCATTTGCTTCCTTGGGCTTTATAGCCAGTGTGCCAGGACTTGAACAGCTCCAGAGATCTGTCGAGTGAGCCAGGGCATCGTTTAAAGACTCCACTCTGGCCTCTGAGGAACTCTGAGACCTGGAGAAACTGTTTCCCCTTTTCATAGCACCGTGGAGAGGAACATGATTCCAAGGGCCCCATGGGTCTCAGTCCACTTCTGCTTAGAGACCCATCCAGAGGCCACCATCCTGGGATCGAGCTGGCGAGAACATTTTTTGACTGGAACTTGGCAATTTAGGAAACATTTGACAAGAACAACTAAGACTGCGGAGGTAGTGGAGATGTCGTGGAAGGGCCTAGAATGTGAGGCTGAAGGGTGTTCGTGACTTGGTGGGTGATGGAGAGGTAGCTGACTGGGAAGGGGGTCGCCAGGGAAGGGTCTTGGTGTCTCTGGCCCGCTTCCTCCTGGCTTATGCCACACCTGGCCTCCCAGCCTCCCGGCCTTGGAGGGCCCCCACCTAGTCGCTCACGCTTCATCTGCGCCTGCGCCGTCAGAGGGAGGGCGAGGGTGAGGGCGGAGGCGGGGAATCGTCGCTGCGGGCTGCCCACCCGCTCCCTGTGCGGCCCAAGGCACGGCCCAGGTCCCTGTTCCGGGGGCCGAGATCCCAGCTGGCCCTGCTGCCCTCCCCGGGCCGAGGGCGTCTCCCGCACTTCGGTGACTCCGCCGGGTAGCGAGGCCGGGCGCGGGCGAGGGCGTAAGAGGGCCATCCTTATTAAGGGGCCTCGCAGCGAGGAGGATGGGTTTCCGGCAGGCCCCTCCCACCAGCTCAGACCTTAGCCAGTCAGGGGGCGGGGCGGGGCGAGGGGGCGGGCTGCAGCAGAACCGGCCAATCACGACCCTTTTTCACCCCACCGCTCCCCAAGGGGCAGGGTTGCCCGGCAACATCCGAAAAATCTCCGCATTGACGCTTTCCCTTTTCCCCTCTGCCGGATGGCCGTTGCTGAAGGGACCAAGGATGGGGGCCTGGACTGCTGACCTCGCCACCCCCCTAGCCTTCACAGCCGGCCCTGGGCCTACTACCGAGATGCCAAGCCTCCTGCGGTCCTAGAGGGGCCGCGGGCGAGGGCCGGACAGCCCGGGCCAGAGCCGCTTCCGGTTTCGAGCTCCCAGCCCCGGCATCTCGTTGCTGGCTGGGAACTCTGGGAGCCCGATCCCGGCTTCCACCTATGGCCCCTGCCCTGGAGCTCAGCGGGCGCGCGGACACCTCCCGCCGGCGCTCTAGGACCTTCCGAGCCCCGGAGCAGGGCCTGACAGTGGTGCTGGGGAGAGCCGGGCGCGGGCGCGGGAACTGTCTGGAGGGAGACGCCTCTTGGGGGCGGGGTGAGCCGGGGAAACTGAGGTGGCCATGGCGGGGGGAGGGAGGTAAAGGGCAGGGAAACGTTAAGTAGGGGCTTTGCAGCATTCACTCATTCGTATTTCAAACACGAAATGAATGCCTGCATTCCAGGTTCTTTGCTAAATGATGAGGAATACGCGATGACAAAGCCAGACAAGATCCTTGCCCTCACGGGGTTCCGGTCTAGTGAGGGAGACTGATAAGCAGATAAGTGACACAGACATTGCTTTCAGGTAGTGACAAATACCAGAAAGAAAGGAACGTGTGAAGCAATGGAGGATGTTAGGAACGGACTGTCAGAGAGGGCCCCTTCAAGGCGGGAACATTTAAGCTGAGACTTGGAGAATGACGAGAAGCCGTTTTACAAGGATTTGGGGGCAGAACCTTCCAAGCAAGGGGAGCAGAATGAATAAAGGCCCCACCATGAGGAAGAGATTGATGTACCAGGAGCTGAAATGACACCTCTGGTGGCAGGTGCCTGCAGAAGGGGAGGCTAGAAGGTGAGACTTGCCAGAGGCTGTGGGCTGAGGTTTCTCCTTGGTATATGGTGGAGAGTGGAGAAAGGAAGGTTGTGAAGATGATCCAACCTTCCTCATCCTCACGCTCCTCTGCCAGTCTGTGGTGTGTGGTCAGTCAGGCTGCCTTGCCTCGGTTGCAAAGACAGCACTCCGTGGCCTGCACCTCTGGCACCTCCTAGAGCGCCCCAGTTTTTCTCTTTTCAACTAACAAAGTTCGAGGCTAGTCTTGAAGATTAATACTACAACCCAACAGGCCACTGACCAGAACAAGCTGGACTCAAATGTTAAGGGGAAAGTGGAAAAAATGCCTGGAGGGCCTAAATCCGGCAGCTTCTCATGTACCTTATGCTCCTGTGGGCATGCCCCTGTGCCAGGTTCCTGGCGATACCCAACTCCCTGGGACTAGTCACTCTTTATTGAGCACTTCCTAGGTGTTAAGAGGTAGTGCTGGGCTCGGTGGTCTTCTTGTATTCTCTCATTTATTTAATCCTTATAACAGCCCTGTGAGGCAGTGGATCAGTTAGGATTACAAATAACAGAGATCCAAAATAGGATCTTTTTTTTTTTTAAAGATTTTATTTATTTATTTGACAGAGACACAGCGAGAGAGGGAACACAAGCAGGGGGAGAAGGAGAAGCAGACTCCCTGCTGAGCAGGGAGCCCAACTGATGCAGGGCTCTATCCCTGGACCCTGGGATCACGACCCGAGCCGAAGGCAGATGCCCAATGACTGAGCCACACAGGCGCCCCCCAAATAGCAGGATCTTAACCAAGATGTATAAGTGTATTTCTCAAGATAATATGTGCAGGTGGGCTGCAGGTAGGCAGCCTATGTCAGGATTGGTGTGGCAGCCCTAACCCACAAAGTCAACAGGGACCCAGGCTCTTCCTAGCCTGCTGCTCCACCCTTCAAGTGCTATCTCAGGATCCCAAAACAAGGAGTAGGATTTAACCATACATGCTGATTTTTAAAATTTTAATCAAACGGGAATACTACGAACAACTTTATCTTAATAAAAAATTTTTTTAAAGATTTTGTTTATTTGACAGAGAGAGACACAGCGAGAGAGAGGACACAAGCAGGAGGAGTGGGAGAGGGAGAAGCAGGCTTCCCGTGGAGCAGGGAGCCCGATGCGGGGCTTGATCCCAGGACCCTGGGACCATGACCTGAGCCGAAGGCAGACACTTAACGACTGAGCCACTCAGGCGCCCCTATCTTAATAAATTTTAAGTTGTAGATGAAAGGGATGATTTCCTAGAAAAAACTACCAAAATTTAGTCAGGATGACATGGAAATTCTGAATATCTAATATCCCACAAGAGAAATTATAAAAATAAATATTTTTATGTTCTATTTTTTAAAGCTTTATTTATTTGAGAGAGCACAAGTGGGAGGAACAGAGGGAGAGAGAGAATCCCAAGCAGACTCCATGCCAAGCGCAGAACCCAGTGCTGGGCTGATTTCATGACCCTGAGATCAGGACCAGAGCCGAAACCAAGAATCAGTTG